CTGCGGACAGCGCTTATGGTGGAGTGAGGGCGAGTAGGGAAGGTCCGCGCGCGCATCTTCTCGCGTATAGGCGTGTTGTAACGGTTATTTAGTAGTTAGATGCGAAGATATATGCATAAGATATGTATATATTACTATATGCTATATATATATTTGAATTCAGTATATCGTAAATTAACTATCATTGAACAGCCTTATGTAATCATTTAACCATTCATCAACTATGCGCAAACTTGGCGTGTTTCTAGGTCGAGCACCTAACGGAGAGACATGTTGAGTTACGTGATTAGAGTCATAATTTCAGGGTGGCCGCGCTGGCGTTGGTCAAGCTGTCGCTAGCGCTGCTCGCAGCGGAACCGTACTGCCGCTTGCTGCCGTGACGCTTGGGCAGCGCGGGATTCGTGTTACGAACGCGCACGACGCCTCGGTTTTCTAGGGCGGAGCGTAGCGTACCACTGGGCCCTTCTTCAGGCAGTTGTCGGTTGGTCAGCCGTTCCAACTACTAGGCTTCAGCAGCGTGAGCTAGTTAACGACTTCTTATGGTGTCCTTCTCTTTGCAGCAGGACACTGCGACAGCCTGTGGCTGGAGTGAAGGGCGAGTAGGAACACGCGCGCGCACTTCTGCGATTGGCTGTGTAGGATTTAGTAGTTTAGGATCGAGATATGATAAATTATTATGTATTATATATATATATGAATTATATTTATTATATATTTTGAAATGCGGCAGTAAAGCGAGTATATTACTACATTATCAGTTATGTTATCATTTAAGCATTCATCAATATGCAAAACTTGACGTGTTTCTAGCGTGGAGGCAGTATATCCGGTGGCCCACAGAGAAGATGTCGTTCCGGCCGTCGCCCAGAGCCGGAGCCGTATTCCGGACCGGATTCGGGGACGAATTCGCTACACACCGTTCGAACGCTCGCGGGCGGGCAACTTCGGGTTCGACTTCGCCGGCACGTACGTGACATCCGGTCAGTTTGAGCTCGCCGCCGCAGGAGGCGGTCTTTGCCTCCGCGCCAGGAGACTCCCGCGTGAAAGGAGGGAGCTCTCCGCAAGTTTCCGTCGGCAGACGATACAAGTCCGGATCGCCACCAGGTGGAGAGCTCGGGCGGCCGACAAGGCTGGAACGAAGCGGCGAGACGAACGGTAGACGGTCACCTGCGTCGCGAAGGCCGAGAGCCAGGCGCTGGAGCAGGCAGTTCAAGCAACGAGGGAGCGCGAGGGTTCGGTGAACGAAGGCGCCACGTACGGCTTTTGACGAACGAACAAGATTCCCTTCAGCGGGCTGGACGCTCGAAGCTGTAACCAGTGCAGCGCCGGCCCGCCAATGAAGCCGTCGCCGAATGCAGAAGCGCTGCCAAGGCAGAGCAGCGCGTGATCCGTACCGGCGTGTACATAGCGACTTAACCCCTGACGACTAGGATTGTTAGCGGAGTTAAGCAGACAACATTGATCCGCCCTCGTTTAATGTGCGCCAGTCTCGCTACAGAGTAGTCTACAATGCAATTTGTACATCTAGTAGTAAATACTAGCTGTCTCTGTAGAGCGTTACGGAGTATTATTGGGGCGAGAGTTGTATCGGACACCAGCGGTATTACTCCTCACCAGCCGTGATTCACGCCGGACTTTCAGTTACTCGTGCATGGTTGTCTATTTTTTACCGTGAATAGGAAGACGTGTACCGATGCGTCCATTTTCGTGAAGATAATTACGACTATGAAAAAAGCGCGATATAAATCTAGAGTGTTACGATCGACGAAATCGGACATTTGAATTGTATACGGCTCATAGCCAGCATAATGATTCAAGAAAAGGCAGTATGTGTCGAGTGAATGAGTGTCCCACAGTGTAAGCAATTGTGTCAGAGAGCTAGGCCATTTTAGTTTATATATGTATTCTATCCTGCATTCTTTCAAGGCAAATAAAAGCGATTATAAATATCAATTGTGTTTTGCTATGCTGTTGTCATTAGAAAAAGCTTACATATCGTCATCATGTAGGTGATACTCGTCTGCTATTGCAGATTTATTTCAGTATATTTGCATTACATCAGCAGGAGTTCGCTACCTTTACTAAAGAGGGGGCAGCGGGATTTATTTTGCATGTATACTTACTTGAGCGAAAGAATATTTACTCTGCTTTTAAAAACTATAATTCCATAAAATTTGCTTCATTTGATAGATATTGCGGCATCGCGAACAGCAGGTCTACCACCCGTTAATGGTATGTGGGGTGACAGGCCGCTTAACCGTAGCTCTCGCCGTTAAAATTCATGTAAAATATAATGCGACTAAGGCCTTCTGATTATTCAACGGTGACTGGCGATATATACTGCTCTACATTTAATCACCATTACCAAGTTATTTCATACATTTTGATAAAGGCTGGTCATGTGCTGCATATTATCGTATATGAGTATTCGCAATCTATTGGCTGATTTTTACTTTTATTAAGTAGTCAGCTAGGGCTCTCTATTATTCATAGAGTATATAGATTACATTTGTACGTATATTTTTCGCAGGTAATATGTCTCTGCTCTGTTTAGAAGTTAATTTTAAAATATGTCAAATATTGGATATGGCAGTATGGGGCTGCGCGAAGATAGGTCTCCGTATGAGATTTCAATTTTATTAGGAGTTGCGTTAGCTAGTGGCTCG